TACTTAGCAAACACGTAGCACAACTTAGCAGAACCTAACAAGAACTTAGCAACACCTCAGCAGAACTTACCTCCTAAATACGTATCAGAAGCACTCACGAGCTACGAGCGCCGAGCAGACGAGCTGCCGAAGCGGCCTCCAGGCCACAGCTGCCGAAGTGCACGAGGGCGCAAGTGGAGTTGCAAGTGCGCAAGTGCAGGTGCGTAAGTGCACGAGGAGGACTGGCGGCGCGCACATGGGGGTGGAGGGAGGGGGGAGGGCTTCTTAGAAGGAGGCTGCTTCTTAAACGGCGCCAGCCGTTCATCTATAGATAAGGCCCGCGCCTTCTGAGAAGCAGGGGCGCTTCTAAGAAGCAAGGAGCCCTCCCCCCTCCCCCCACCCTGATGGGCCTGTTTTCCACCACCACCACTATAAGTTGGAGGGGGGAGGGGGTCCTCCTCCCCCTGTTCTTCCTCCTCCTCCTCCTCCTCCTCCTCCTCCTCCATTTCCTTCCCCCCTCCAACTCATGGTGGTGGTGGTGGTGGAAAGCATGCCCATCGCACTCCCGTCTGCGCGTGGCTGAGTGTCGGCGCACGAGCTGCCGAAGTGGCCTCCGGGCCACAGCTCTCGGGCCTCCGGCGGCAGCCGCTCCCGGGGCGGTTCGGCTCGGGCACCCCCGGAGCGAGGGGCGCCCCCGGCGAGGCGCGGCCTCTCCCCGCAGGAGAGCAAGGGCGCTCCGGGGCGCCGAGGACCTCCAGAGACGCGCGCGCGCCGGCGCCCAGAGGAGCGGCGGGACGCACAGGGGCATGCTGATACCCTCGACCAGGAGAGCAAGGGTGCGCGGTAGGGATGCAAGGGCCTTGGAACGCCATGTTGACGTTCTCCGTGCGGGGTGCAGCAGAATGCCGAAGGATGCCGAACACCGAAGGGGCAAGGATGCAGGGGTAGCCTTGGGAAGTTGCCCCATCCTTACAATCATGGTTGACTTCTCTTAGTCGGGCCTGTCCCTCTACAGGAGGAACATTCAAAAATGGTCCCAAAAAATAGTCAGGGGACGATTGGTGGGCTATTTGTGTTCTAGTGTTGAGCATTAGTGTTTCACTTTTCGTCCAGAATCCGCCTGTAGGGGGACACGCCCGACCTAATACTAATATTATATGTCTTCCTTGGAGGCGCGCGTCCGACCCGAACATGTAGTATACCCATCTTGTAGTATAGATCGTTTCCCGAGCGGTGTGGCCAGAAAAGGCCCGCCACGACGCATAGACTGTAAGGAGAGTTCTCGGTGCGCGCGCCGCCCCTGGGGGGGGGCGACGCACACACAGTATTAGTATGTTGGGGTGACGCCGAAGAAAGGAGCGCCTCGCCCCTGCAAGCACGAGTTGTATCCATATCTGTTAGCTTTCTACCCATATCCACTGCGCCTCGGCCGCCTGGCGCCCCATCCCCGAAACTCCAAGATGCAGTTGATATGGATACATACATCTTGCACGCAGCCCCAGCTCTGGGCGAAGGTGCGGCCGGGTCGGGCCACATTTCAAGGCTGGGGGCGGCCGGGGGGCGCCTGGACTGGTCGGGGCCCCCAAAAGAATCGGCCAGGAGAGGGACCGAACCCAAAGCCGCTCAAGTAAAAACAAGCCCAGCACAGCTCCCGGGGGGCCACTGGGTGCAATTCTGCGCCCCGGGTCCGTTTTTCGCGGCCCCGGGGCCGAAGACGGCCCCTGGAGGCCGAAACAGGCAGGCAAAACAAATGAAATTACGAACCCAGAGCCGCAGGCCTAGAGGTTGACACCAACACCAATTTCGGCGGCGTTCCTCCACCGTGGGAAGAGGTTCCCGATCTCGGTGATGGTGGCAGTATGCTGGCTTCCAAGGTGACCGAGACATTACCACCAACGCCGAGATCTAGGATCACCTTCCCCCTGTGGAGGCCACCCCCCCCTGCGTTGGTGCCGGTGCCCATGTCCAGGCCCCCAACAGAGCCTCGAACCTGCCCGCGCTCCCCGCTGGCCGGGGCCGGCGCCGGGCCGCCCCAGGGCCCCAAAACCCGCTCCGAGCCGAGGCCTCTCCGTGAGGCCTCGGCCTCCGAGAGGTCGTAGCTTCTCGGGGGCGGCCAAGAGGGGTCCTCCTCCTCCTCCTCCTCCTCCTCCTCCTCTCCTCCTCCTCCTCCTCTTCCCCCATGTCCTCCTCCTCCTCCTCCTCATCATCATCTCATCCTCCTTATCCTCCTCCTCCTCCTCCTCGGGGAGGCGTCCAAGAGGGGGGGGGGGGGGGGGCGCAAATCCTGGCCGGCGGCACGTGCGCAGCCCAGGGGGGGTGGGGGCTGGGGACGTAGTGAGATACGACGAGGCACCATGAGATAGGGGGAGGCATCATGGCCCAAGCCATGACATCCCCCCCCCCTGGTAACCACCCCCCTCTTGGCCGCCCCCGAGCTGCAAACGACACCACCCCCCCCACCTACGGCCCCACGGGGGCTGGCGTATGCCAGGAGATCTGCCGTGGGCTTCTGCGCGGTAGACGCTATGCGGCGCCCGAGGGGCCGCAGCATAACACGGGGACCGCAGGTGGAGTGGTGTCGTTGAATTTGAAATCGATTCTGTCGCCTGCGAGGCCGAGGCTTGGGTCGGGCATGTCCCCCTACAGACGGATTTGGACGAAACATCAAAAACAGTCCAAAAATGCTCCAAAAAAGAATCAAACATAGTCAAGTCAAAACGTCGTCCCCTGACGACCTTTTTGCCTATTTGGCACTATCCCTCCTGTAGGAGGGATACGCCCGACTTCAGCCGAGGCCTTCGGCGCGAGGGGACGCGCCGACGCTGCCCCCGCCGCCGCCGGCCCGAGGCCGCCGCCGGGCTGCCCCAGGTAGGGACCCACCCAAAGAGGACGTGCGCGTCAAACTGCGTGCATGAGCGCGGCCCCTCGAGCCGCGAGACCGGCCGCGTGATGCGAACACTCGCGCAGTGCGCACTGTCGAAATCGGCGCAGACTCACGCACGTGCGCGTCCTTCTTTCGCTCCTGACCAGGGGCGTCGACTCTCCGCGGGCGCCCCCGGGCGTCACGGGGTCGGTGGGGTGCGCACTGCCGCCATGCCCTTGAGCAGAGACAGACCGTCCCGGCATTCCTATAGGCCTACCACGACATGTCCTCAGAACCCAAAAACGTTCCAAAAACAGAAACAAGGCTCCTAGAACATAGACACGATGCGTGAAGCCCAGACATATTCTAAGAACAGTTCGTGCAGACCACACAAGGTCCTCCTGCTCCTCCTTCTCCTCCTCCTCCTACCCCCCACTTCGGCTTCCTCCTTCTCCTCCTCCTCCTCCTCCTCCTCCTCCTCCTCCTCCCCCTCCTCGTCCTCGTCCTCCTCCCACTCGTCCCCTCGTCCTCGTCCCCCTCATCCTCCTCCTCCTCCTCCTCCTCCTCCTCCTCCTCCTCCTCCTCCTCCTCCTTCTCCTCCTGCAGGTCCTTAGAACATTCTGTGGTAAGCCTATATAGGCACGCCAAAACGCTTCGCCGCTGCTGGACTCGGGGCTCGGGCCCGGGACATGCAGGCCGCGGGGGGAGCGGCCCGGCCGGGCCCGCCCGAGGCCACGACCAGGAGCAGCGGCGCGGGAGATCCGTGGACGCACTGGGACACACCAGTACACTGCGCCCTCATCGGAGGCGCACGTCCGAACCGAACAAATAGTGCGAACAACTTACATACAGGCATACATGCATGCATGCACACATGCATGCATGCATACATACATACCTGCCTGCCTGCCTACCTACCTACATACATACATATGCATGCATGCATACATACAACAACCTATAAAGCCATACATACATGGGCACGTACGTGCAAACAGACATACATACATGCATGCATACATACATACATGCATACATGCATACAGACATACATACCTACATTACATGCACGCATACATACATGCATACATGCATGCATACATACATACGTACACATACGTACATACATACAAATATGCATACACACAGGCAGACATACATACATACATACATACATACATGCATGCATACATCCATACATACATACATACATACATACATACATACATACATACATACATACGTACGTACATACATACATACATAAAAGCATGCATGCATGCATATGTACATGCATACATACAGACAGACAGACAGTGAGATGGACAGACAAACAGACAAACACACATACGTACATACATACATGCATCCATACATACCGACATACAGGCTGGCATAGATACATACATACGTACATGTATATCGCCATGTATATATACATTCATGCATACATACATACATACGTACATACGTACATACATACATACATACATACATACAGACATGCATACATGCATACATGCATACATATGTACATATGTATATATATATATATATGTATATACGAACAGACGTACTATACACATACATGTATACATGCATGCATACATATATCCTTACATACATACATACGTATATATGTATGGTGGCCCTCGCGCTATGGCCAAAAAGCGCCCGCCGCAGAAAGAATACGCGAAAAGAGTTCGGCGTGCGTGCGTCGCCCCTTTGCGGGGCCGACGCGCACGTGGTATCACGTATCGACCTCGCATTAGTGGTGCCGACACTTTGCCCACGGGCTCACGGGGCAAACCATCGAGGGCATCGCTTGGTTGTCCAGCACAGACGCGATAGCCGACCTGGTATGGTGGCATGTTGGTTGCACGCGCTACGCGCTGACAGACATAGCAGCCGCCTCCAGACGGCGCATTGACAAGGAAAATTGTGACAGGTGGCGGCGTGCGGGCACATGCGAACAACAGCTGGTTGCGCTGCTGGCGGCTCGGTTGCACATCATGAGGAAACTTTGTACCCCATGGGACGCTGCCGGCGGCTCACGGGCGCGCAAGCATACATTACAGTGGAGGCCAGTCCACAAGAGACCTTCCACAAGAAACCCGATTCCAGGACGTCCACTGGTCTGTGGTGTGGGAACGTCACGCTGTCCATCGCACAACGATCGAAACCCAAGAAACCCAGGGCCCCCTGGAGGCGAGCAGGGTGTTTCGTGACATGGGCCCACATTGGAACGATCCATGGACTTGGCGCGCGGTCGCCAAATCCATGGATCAGGATCGTGGAGGTGTCCTCCCCAAAATGCGCCCACTGCCGCCTCGCTCGGCGGCGAAGATCTGCGATTTCACATATGGGCACGGGACCCGTCGCCAGTCCACGCCCCCTTGATCCATGTTTACGATCGCCTGAAACAAGGGACCACCGCCACTGACTACCTACCAAACCATCCCAGCCCAACCCGAAGACCCGAATTTGACCCGAATTTCGGGTTGGGGGGGGTACGGGTTCCATATGTGTTTTCTCAATGTTCCCCGACACCCCCCCCCCACTGGAAATGGAGGGCAAATTGAGGCCTTCGGGTTGGGTTGGGGTGGATTGGTGGGTGGTTAGCCACCGAGCACCTCATCAGGGGGACCGGCCCACCTGGGCGGCGGTGGCACGCCGCCAGAGCGTCGTCCCTGGTTAATTACGCCGCGGTTCGCGCCGGCGAACCGCGGGGATGTGGCCCTTCCTGTGCATTCCAAAAAACAAACGGCGCCAACCTTCCCCCTCCTCCCCTGGTCACGGCCGCATCGCCAGGGATTTCTGTCAACAGAAATAGAAGTCAAAAACTCCACCCCCATAATCACCACCCCGTCACTCGAGGTCGTTCAATAAACGTGCCCAAAGAGAGAATCGAACGGGGCAGGGCTGCTCAGTGAACGCCCAGGGCCGTTTGGCAAACGCCGATATCGGGTCCGAAAGGTTTTTTCCTCCCTTGACAAAGAAAAAGAACACCCTTTTTCCCCCTCTGATGAGCGGAGCCCAGGCCTTGCGCACTGTCGATCTTCGCCTGGAGGTCCTCCAGGAACACTTCCTGAAGGGGCGTGGAGCTGCCGGGCCGACGGCACGCGGGGGGCAGAGAGCAGGAGGAGGAGGCCCGCCCCCCGAGAGGCGCGCCGAGACCACGTCTGCGCGCCCTCGCGAAGGCCACACAACCGCCAGAGCTCGCACTCCAGCGGACCGCTTCGCAGTCAGACGCAGTCGAGCCTTCCAGGCATCTGACCCCCAGGCCCTGCGTGAAAACGTCACTGGCTCGCAGAAATGTCAAAGCGAGAGAATATCGAATCGGCAGCAACAGCAGCAGCTTGCAAATTATGAGAAGATACAACAGCCCTCGGGCAAACATCGAAACATGCACACGGGTCACGCACACAAAACCAGTCGGGCGCTCCACTACAGGAACAAAATGAGGACGTACGAAATAGTTCCGCAGATCATCATCACCCGTACATCCGAAACGACATGTTTCCAAGGCTTGACGGTACCAACACAAAAGCTCATGGCATTCCATGTGCATAGTTAGGAAGACACGGAAACCAATGGAGCATGGAAGCTTGTGGCCAGTAGGGCCCAGGCGGATGATGGCGGTCACACTCTAGTCGGGAGCGACATCGCAGTGCCAACACCCGAGACGGCGTCCTATCATCTACTGAAGGCGGGGCAGCAGAAACACTTCTAACAAAAACGCTCCAAAGCGCACCGAATATTTGGGCACTCGGCGGGACCTAACTGCCAGGGACCCTCGGAGACACCCCTGGGACGTCGCCCCAGACAGGACGGTACATCTCGATCATTCGCCCCAACGGGGACGCACGAAAATATTGATTCCGCCTCCACCCTCCACCCCAGGAAGTCGGCCACTCCCTTCTAGCACTTCCTCCAACTCCCTTGCTCGCTCCCAATATTATGTTTCTTATATCTGTATATATATACACATATACATATACATATATCGATACAGATACATATATATATATATACACAAATATATAGATATACATAGATATATATGTGTATATATGTGTATACGTATACATGTAACAAAGAACATAAACACCGCACCAAATATCCTCGCTAGAGACATCGGGCTGCCCGCCCCTCGTGCCCGAGAGAAATATCGCGCCCGGGCCAGAACCGAAAACCTCCCCCAGCCTGGGCAGCTCAGTCTTCGGCATGCCACGGCTCGGGCAGGCCCGAGGATCTGGGGCGCGCCCTGCTCGCCGCCATCCGCCCGCCCCCTCGCGCAGAGGAAGGGGGCGACTGAGCATTCTCTTAGGGTGGAGGGCTCAGGGCGGAATCCACATGGGCTTTTCGCACCTCGAAAAACAATCCGTCTGGTGATTCACCTTGTTGCAGATTCAAGACTCGAAAATCCATCGAAACGGCATTTCAGATTTCATCCTTTGCCCTCAACCCAGAGAACATGCTCGGGGCGAAGAACAGGGGTGGCAAGCGTGGCGATGGCGTGGAAGGAGATGAGGGAATGACGCAGGCCTCCAGCCAGTGAGCGAACGAAACAGCGACTTTCGGAGCACTCAGCGATCGGGCCTGCCCCAGATTTTCTTACAGCCCCTTCTCCAAGCGCGACCCCGAGATGCTTGTCGTGGCCCTGGATGACGAACCTCCGAACCCTGCTGCCGTGCCTCCGAAACCCAATGATTTCCTCATCCCCACCCACATCCCTAGAATATGACGGCGCACTTGCCGAGATTCAGGGCGCTGGGCAAGTGAAGCGGACTGGGAAGACCACCTGAATCTCACGCAATACCTGCCCAAGGCACAGCGCAAAAATGCTGGCAGACAATGGGCGTCATTGCCAGACTCCGCGTTCAATCACGAGCCCAAAAAGGAGAACTCCTTCCCCCGAGAATCAGCTCGACCGACATCTGCCGTTAAAGCGATTGAACAGGTTGACAAACAACTCGGGGACCACCATGGGTCCAAGGACTAAGTCGATCCGAGGCGGCGTCAATATCGAGCCATACACACCCGGCCTCATGCAAACACTGGAGCGCTCCGTAGCGCAGCATGCTGCGATCTAACTTCACGATGCAGCCAGATATCTGCTGGGTGCGAACGGAGCCATTCTGGGCATCTCCAACGGACAGCTCGCAGTGGTGGGACAGCGCAAAATTCAAACATGTTCTGGGAATATTGGCGTCGCTCTTGATGAAAGCGATGGATCTCACGTTTTCAGAGGCACGCCAGACTGAATTGCTATCCTGAGCCGGGGGGGCATTGCGACAAAAACGCAGTACCTTTCTGTTGACATCGCCATCCATCGGGCCACCTGTCTGGGAGCATCGGCACAGGTTGCGCAATGCGTCAATCACGAACACGCCTCCGAAAATACAGGCCGAATACAGTCGGGGCGTTGACCTAAGGAACCTTAAATAGGGAACGAGGCCCCTTTTTTCCATAAATTAACCTTCGATTTCCTGTCGGAAACATAAGGAAAGCCTGAGGCAAGCTGTGAAACACTTAAGGAACGCGGAGCCCCTCCCCAACCAAAAGGGTTATCCTTCCTCAGGGACCCGACTGCAGCACAGCCCGTCAAAGCCAGAAGCGCAATCCTTGAAACGACTGGTCAAATGATGGAAGCCCTTCCGATACATGGCCCATTCGACCCCGGCCGGGATGGCACTGCTGGATACACGTGGCAAATTCGGCGGCGACCTCGCTAGGAAGCGGGAACAGCTTGGTGGACACCAGCCCAGTGATGCCGAAGCGCATCCGCCCCCGCTTCCAAAGTAGGAGAGCGGAGCCCGTCAGGATGGCGAATGCCTGCTGGATTCCAGCGACGAGTCCTAGGGGGCCACGCATGTACTATCCCCAAGATTTTCTTCAAGACGCGAATCTTGTAGTTGGGCGGCGCAAGCTCCTCCATCAGCTCCTTCCTCTCCTCTCCAAGCCCTCCTCACGCCACCTCCCCCAGTTCTTCGTAGAGCCCCCGCCCGTCGATCAACAGTAGAGTATGCTGGAAAGTGAAGTTGGCGAGCTTTGACAATATTTTCATAACCCAAAAAGAAAGCACGATGGCATGGGCGCGGCCGTTCCACGCGGCACGGCTAATCGCGAGCAACCGCGAAGGATGCAGGGAATAAGACGCTGGCGACAAATTATCTGACCGCTGCCTGATGCGATCGCCGACGAGCCACATTCACTCTAGGATTTATTCGACGCGGGTGGGAGGATTATCGGACAGTGTGAGATCCTCATCAGAGATAATGTGGGGAAGTGCAATAGGGAACCGCGCATGCTTGGAAATCCACGAAGGCACGCTCGGGGACAGGGGCCGAAATTCGGGGGGGAGGAAGAAAAGGCAAAGATCACCCAGGGCCCGACCACCACACGCATCCCAGCAACTACCAGCATGTGAGTGGTAGTCTATCACGTCGGCTGCGCATGAGCGAAGATGCGCTAGATGGGCGACAGCGCTTCAACAAGGCGAGCGCCGCCAGAATCGGACGTGAGCCTGCGAGACGGAGAAGGCCGATGAACTTCAAGCATATCGGAAAACTGCATTTCAAAGAACCTGAGGACACCATCAACAGACACGTGGCTGGTCCATGCCTTCTCCCGGAGGCGAGAAAATGAAATCGCCGAACAACAGCGCCTGAACATGGGCGGGAGAGGCGTCGCCTGCCGAACACGATTGATCAGCTGTCTCTTGTCATTCCAAGACAGCTTCAGGGTCGGTGTGCATATTGATATAGTGACCGAGTCGACCTTCAGCACGCGCACGAATACGATGACAACGGCCAGACTGGATGATGAGATGGTCGAAGTCCGCAAAAGCATGCATGATGGTGGGGTGGATTCATAATATCATCCCGGCCCTATGTGGGAGTCGGGGTCGAAAGAGGCAAACACCCCGCGATGAGGCAAGCTCCCTTTAGCGGCGACACGGTCTCCCTCACGCCCATTAGCCTGTTGAGTGCCAGCGATACATGGGGCGGCACACAACGAGAGAAAACGACGGCTAGAATTTCGTGATGACCACGAAAGGATCCAAGGGGGCCCTGCGAATTCCAGATGGCAGCGCGAGGCCCAGCGGAGCAAGAGAGCCCTGTGGGAGGAAGACTGGAAGCAGACCCGTGTACTTGTATAGCAGGCTGGGCTGGGGACGAAGAGGGGACAGACCTACTACTGGCTGGCTGCTGACTTGAACGCCCAGATGGGACCGAAGACCACATCCCCACGTCGGGGAGCCCATCTGAGGATTGCACAAAGCTTGGCGGTAAGTAAGGGACTGCCTGCAGAAAGCCGTGATCCGGCTGGATGCTGAACAGGTTATCAGCCTCCTCACGCGTGCGAAACAAGATCCAGTGGTCGTCGTTCGGGCGGTCTGTGACTGAGAATCCCACCAGCCCTTGAGGGCGTAGGTGGTCTAGAGAGCTTCCTCTTCCAACCCCCTTTCTTCCCGTTCTGGGAGGGGCTTACCCCTCCCCCCACCCCCTCCCCTGGACCTGGAGGGGGCGCCCCGCGAGGTATCAGAGCGTCCATGATGGCCCAGGATGGCTCCAAGAGGGCCTCACAGAGCCCAAGATTACCTCCAAGGTAGCTCAAGATAGCCCAAGATGCCCCAAGATGCCTCCCCAGTTGCCCCAAGGGGCCCCAAGAACGCTCCAAGACGGCCCCAGATGGCCACGGAGCCTCCACAGGAGGCCGCCAAGAGGCCAACATCCTTCCAAAACCTAAGAAAAATCAGCATCGTCTGCGTCTCGCCTTTTTGTTTCCGTTGACCTTCCGAAGCCTCAGTATGGCTCCCCCAAGACGGCCGCAAAGGCACCCAATAGCGCTACAAGAGCGCTCCAAGCGCCCCAAGAGGCGATGTTAGGCACTCTAGCTAATTAAGTGGCCCCCCTTGGTTGATCGATATGTTCCTCCTAGATGGCGCATAGATCATAGATCGGCCCCGAGGCTCCCAAGAGCGCCCCAAGAGGGCCCGAACCAAGGAGGCCCCAAGATGCCCCCAAGAGACCCCCGAGAGACCGACCCCAAAGTGGCCCCAAGAGGTTCCCCGAGGCAGACAAGACGCTGTAAGAGGCCTCCAAAAAACATCAAAAAGAGGCCAAAGAGCCCCAAAACGGCCCCAAGAGCGCTCAAGAGTGTCCCAAGAGCGCTCCAAGAGGGGCCCCTCCTCTCTGTGCTGCCTACTTCCCACATAGAGGCAGCTCCTCTGGGCATCGTCTCTGGAGGGGCTGGTGGGGTTACGCGAAGCGTCAAGAAGTCCCCTCTGGCTCCGTTGATGCCGAGCTTGTGGGCAGCGGGCCCCCACGTTCCAGACACCTGCAGATTGGCGAGCACACGGGGCGCAACGCCGAAAGAGTACTCTGACGAAGACAAGCAGCGAGAGGCAGGTCAGACGAGCAGAGGGATGCATGTCACGCGCGGGTCGAACCAGGGAGGAGGGTATTCAGCGCCCACCTGCGGAACTCCTTGCACTGTCCCACCTCCTAGAGGTGAATGCTGCAGCTTAGGAGCACGGTGTGGGCCTTGGCGTTGACGTCCTGGCTGATGTTCGTCGCAGAGTGCTGGAGGGCCTCCTTGACACGCTCGAAATGGTTGCGACGATGAATTTCAAGCACGACTCTCGAGAACCCCCCGGTCGATGTCCTGGTGTGGTCAGGCCCGTCAGTTGAAGCACGACGAAGAAGCGGAGGAGGCGGTTCAGGAAAGTATCGTCGACGAATCTTGGCCGGGCGCGAACGATCTGCGGATGCGAAAGAGGATGAGGAGAGAGGACACGATAGCGAGCTGGTCCGCTGCTGATGTCGGCAACTGTGGTGTCGATCATGGCGGTCATATTGGCCTGAGAGTCGTCGTCGATGATACTTTTGTCGCCGTCGTTGCTGGAGTCCTTGGCTTTGGTCTCCAGGGCTGCGAAGCGTTCTACCAAAGCGACCGCAACGCCGTTGGCCAGGTTCTGCATGTCGGTGTATGCCTGGGCCTGCGCGCTCTGCAGCAACGTGACGATGCAGGCTTTCATCCGCGTGACCTCGTCCACGTGGGCCTGGATGCAGGCCGTCATGCTCCCCGCCTCCGCAGACATCTCGCGACTGGCTACTGGCGCCTCGGTGAGGGCCCGCAGGGCGTCGATGGAAGCCACGGCGGGCGAGACGGGAGCCCTCCTGATGGTCCCCGAAGGCAGAACGCGCGGGCGGAGCGCGCGAGGCTGCACGGCCTCGCCTGCGAGTCCGTCGACCTTCCCCTCGGCAGCGACCAAGCTCCAAGCGCCAGGGAGCACGCTTCGAACTTGAGCCGGAAGGGCGACGGAGGGAGCAGGAGGGAGGAGGGAGGAGGGAGGAGGGAGGGAAGAGGAGGGGGGTGTGAGGAGAAGGAGAACGTAGAGCTCGGCAACGGCTAGAAAAGTGCCACCACATTAAACATGCATCAAACAAACTCCAAACGAGTTGAGGGGGGTCAAAATCCTCCCCGGGCGGCGCAACCTGCCGGCGGCGCTCTTGCGCTCGAAGCCCGAGCGACTCCGCCTCTTCCCGAGAGCGGAAACCAAAAAGTGATAGGCCTCGCAGAAGGTCGACCCCAGTCCCCGCCCAAGCACACCCACCCCCGCCCGACATGGACGCAAGAGAGCCTCTGGACAGAGGCGGCGCTAGCTGCGGGAGGTCGTCCAGACCCATCTTGGCTGCCAGGCAGTCTCGAGAGGGATCCGATAACACGGCCGCTCGCGAGACCCGAAACCCTTGCTTCGAAGGATGGCGACCGCGCAATATCCAGTCCAAGTGCCTCTCACGACCCGAGGAACGGTGGCCCAAACAATCTGACGCTAGAGCCGTTTTTCCCCCGTGCCCTCCTACGGCACAAACCGAGCCGCAGCGAGTACAGAAGGCCAGGGAGCCAGCCGCTGCCCCCGAGGGGTCCGTGACCCCACACTCAATGATGTGGTGGGCGCGGCCTGGCCAGACATGGAGGTCGGGCCATTCGGCCCTGGAGGAGGAGGAGGAGGAGGAGGAGGAGGAGGAGGAGGAGGAGGAGGACGACGAAAAGGGCGAGGGAGACGACTCGACCACGACTTCATCTTCACTCTCCTCGTCCTGGGCGCCGCTGGCACCACTCTCGGAGGAGTGTACGCGGCTCATCTTCTTGCCCGTGAACTGCTGGGTGAGCCGGTCCACATTCCTGGGGCAACCACAGGGAGAGCTCCCCCCCGCAGGTCTTCTACACAAGCATCCCCTGGAGCCAGAACTTGCAGGAAAAAACGGCAAAGAACCCTGGCAGGGGGTATCGAGCAAATGCCGAAAGGGAGAAGCTGGTGGAACCGTAGAGACGGAAGGCGGTCAAAGCAGAGTGGGTGGCAGCCCGCCCTAGCAGTAGGCAGAGTCAACTAGCAACCGATCGTCGGCTCGTCAAGCAGGGAGGCGCAGGAAAAAGCTCGGGATCTGGGGATCTACAGCCGAACCGAAGACAGAAGAATACCCTTCAAGAACATGAGATCCTCCGCCGGCCGAACTGAAAAAACATTCATCAACCACGAAGAACATTAGGGCACTCTACCTGAACCGACCTCGATGTTGTACCTCTGTCCGACCGTACCTCACTGTCTTTCGGACCCGCAGGGAAGGGGATCGCACCGTGGTCCCGGGGCGCCTTCTCACGAGGCGGAAGACCGACTCCGACTTGCCAGCCTCGTGCTTGACCTCCGCGTAGGCCTCCATCACGATGGCGACAAACATGTTGACCAGGACCAGAAAGATGAACCCCATGTAGATGACAAACCTCCCGCATACAGTGGAGGCCAGTCCACAAGAAACCCTCCGCAAGAAACCCAACCCTGAGACCCCAGGACGTCCATGGATTCTTGGCGTGGGAACGTCACGCTTTCCATCGAGAAGCCATCGAAACCCAAGCGACCCAGGGCACCCTGGAGGCGAGCAGGGTGTTTCTTGGCATGGGTTGGGCCGCACAGAGACATACTGATACTATAGGTCCTCCTCGGAGGCGCGCGGCCGACCCGAACATACAGCATAACCATCTTGTAGTAGATCGTTCCCCGAGCGGCGTGGCCAGAAAGCGACCACCACGACGCACATACTATGAGATGTCTCGGTGCGCGCGTCGCCCCATGGGGGGGGCGACGCACAGATAGTATAAGTACGGTGGGGTGACGCCGATGGGTCTCCACTGTATGCATCCCCCCTGGGTCACCCGACGCCGCGCTTCTCGCGCCGTGGCGGTTCTCCTCGCGCCCTCCTCGCCGCACGCCGCGGAGAAGGGCAGCCTACGAGGCCCGGATCGCCGGGCACAACAAACGCGATGATCCTTGCGGCGCCGCGGGGGTCCACTGATGGTGATGACGCTGACAATGATGGTGGTCATGATGGTGATGGTGACGAGGAAAATGAGGATGATGATGATGAGGAGGAGGAGGAGGACGAGGAGGAGGCGGACCATGCGAACGATGATGCGTATGAGTATGGTCATCATGATCACGATGATCAGGATGATGGTAATCATGATGATGATAATGATGATGATGCTATGGCGGTGATGATGATGATGGCGGTGGTGATGATGACGATGAGGATCTGATGGCGGTGGAGATGATGTTGGTGGTGATGACGAATGTGATGGTAAAAGTAATGGTGATAGTGGTGGTGATGGTCATGGTGATGGTGCTGGTGGTGGTGATGATGATGAGGAGGAGGAGGATGGTGGTCATCATCACCATCACAATCATCATCGTCGTCATCAGCTCCTCCTCCTCCTCCTCCTCCGAGCTCTGCGGGGATTTCCGAAGCTATCAAAGGTCTGCTGAGGTCCCCCCAAGGTCCCAGGAGGTCTCCTGGCGTCTCCATCTAGGAGGAAAAACGAAGGCCCCATTACTCCTCCCCCTACTCAACCACACACATACGTCCTCGCCTAACATCCAACTTCTCCTCGTCCTCTCCCCCCTCCTCCTCGTGACCCCTCCTCCTGCATCACCCCTCGAACCACATCGTCGCGTTGAATGGAGCGATGTAGTACATCGCCAGGAAATCGAAGTCGCCCATCAAGGCCCGAAAACCGGTGCACGTCGCAAGAATGGGGGTGGACCATTCTTTGAGTGTCTGGCCAAAGAGGAAGAGCGCGCCGATGATGAAGTTAAAGAATACGAGTAAGAATATGAGCATGAAGTGAAATAGGTCCTGGGCGTCGGATGCGGAGGGCAATCTGTGCAGGTAAAGAAGAAGACGGCCAGGACGGTGACAATGAGGAGGATGATAAGCAACTGCAATTACAATCACGATGTAATGCAAGCTGCATTGCGGATTGCGTCCATGCACCTTCCGTGCAGCTACTACTCCTCACTCATGGGGCACCCCATGACCTGTGAACGATAGCAAGGCTGAGAATAAAAGACAAAGCGCCGAGACAAGGCGCATCGAATCCTCGGAAGACATGGACAGCGTACGCGTGATCACCGCCAACCTCTCGTTCGCATTAAAATTCTGGAAAAACTTCACCAGCATTATCATGCTGTACCTGAGGGGAACCACCACCGGCAACAGCGGCGGCGACGGCAAAAACATCCAGTTCCACAAACACATGAGCAGCTGCAGCGTGTGAGCGCCCTGGGGGTCAGAGCTATTGGAAGGGCAGGAGGGACAGGCAACTGGGAAAGCAAGATGAGATAGCATCGTGGCATTCACGGAGACAGTCCCGATTCAAAAAGTAATCTTGGCGGTCGCGCGAGAACTCCCCGGCCAGGGCCATCTCTTCCTGGGCGGCAGCATGATCGCCATCGCACTAGGAAATGCGATGACGGCGCCTGGAATTCCATCGCGCGGGCGACGTGGACACGGCCGCGGCTGCGCCCCAATCGCGGGTGCGCCGCCGTCGATGGGTGCCTCGTGCATCGACCGCCGCGCGTCACAGCCTGCAGACACGGTGGGAGGAAAACCCGGTCGAAGCGCGCAGGGGCTGGCGCGGGCCTCCGCCGCACAAAAAAAAAGGCGAAAGTCGCAGCGCGCTGACAAACCGCAAACGCCGTCCCCGAGGGTAGGAAGGCACCAACTATACACCAACACCGATCCTGGCCCAGGATCCCCCTGGGCCCAGGATCGGTGCATACGCCCTCCTGCCTGGCGCAAGAAGGCATATACACCGATCCTGGGCCCAGGGTGAGCCTGGGCCAGGATCGGTGTTGGTGTATAGTTGGTGCCCTCCGAGAGGGGGGGAATCAAGTCGCGCGGCCGCGGCAGCCGCCACGCGCGCGAGCGTGCCCCCGAAACACGACCCTCGAGGAGCGCCGCCGCGCTCGCAGGGACTGCCGCCGCCGGCTCCGCGCTCCTGCTCGGGGTGTCTGGGGCTCGCGGCATCGGAGCGCAGAAAGCCTTCTATCAGTCAGGATCAATCAGCAAACCGCACCATCCCTCTATGTCCCCACGGATGCACGCCACGAACCCCGGTCGACCTTAATCCTGCATTCTCCTCTCAGCAAGCCCCCTCAATCCCTTTCCTCTCCACACCCTTTTTGGCGGACCAATGGAATCACATTCCACGCGGCAGAGGAGCTGTTGCGGGCGCGGTGGACGAATTCCACTCGGCATGCAACGCGAAGAAATATGCTCGTTGTCGACGCGGTGGACGTGTTCCACTCGGCGTGCAACCATGAAACATACAGCTGGCAGCAGGTCGAAAAAGGATTCCGCATGATCCCATTTCAGCTGCCTACATACCCTTTTTTTCATTTCCAGAGGGGCGCCTCGAGAAAACAACTCACACACGCACAGCAGCAGCTCGTGTGTCCACCGGGGGGAGGAGCGGGGGCGGGCCCCGGTGCTTAATCCACCCGCTTGAAGCAGCCGCTTTAAGCAGCCAAGATCTGGTCTTTGGGGAGGAGGGAGCGGGGGCCCGCGCCGATCGGCGAAACGAGACATAAGAAACAGCTACGTGCCTCTCAAGACGGCTCAATGGGCCCGATTTCGACACACCCCTCACGCACTCTACACCTACCCAAGGCCTAGACGACCCAGAGCGTCCAAGGCCCGACTCCAGCAAACCCAATGTCACCTGCCCAATGCCTGCCCACGAACCCCCAGGCCTGTCCAAGGTCAGCCCGACGGCCTATCCAATGCCTGCCTCAGGCTTACCTGGCGGCCATTCAAGAGCTGATACATGGCCTACCCAGAGCCCAGTGAAGGCCCGCACACGACCTAGCCAAGGCTCATCACAGATTTGTCACGTCCAAGATCTACACAAAGTTTAACGTCTAGCCAACCACATGCGAGCGCCATAACGAATGTGAACACCCAAATGCGCGCGATCACCGTGCCCGCGCTCGTCTTACAACCACCACGAAAATCTTTATATCGATGGGCTGTCGTGAAGGGTTCTATGGTGCGCCCACCTTCGTCGTGCAACCACCGCGTAAAATTTGCCAACACTGGACCACCCTGAAGGTTTGAACGGTACGCGCCAAAAGAAATCGGCAACAAAATAATCGATCCGACGGTCACCCCAGTACCGCGGCGACTGCCGGGACTGATCCAAGTATTCGCTTCTTTCGTGGCGGCCCTGAAAAAAAGCACGCCCACCTCAAAAATCCAGCGTCTCGCGTGAGATATCCCCGAATGCTGACCGCAAGTGGGCAAATGTCCAACCCCGTGGTCCCTCCCAATTGTGGCGCCCAGCAACGTTTGTTGCGACATCGCGAACACCACGCGGCCTTGAAAAAGACTCGCCTACATCCGTGACACAAGCGAACCGCTGGAGAGATCCCCACAATCTGGGCACGAACCGGTAAGTGTCCTAATTATCCCCTGGCGGCACCCCCTTGTGTTGCCCACGTGCGAGGCCTGTCACATCGCGATACTTCTGATCGTGATATGGAAAAGGAAGGAGGGAGGAGGAGGAGGAGGAGGAGGAGGGAGTGAGTAGACGGAAGCGCGACACGGATAACAAGAATTCACGACGCAAAACATGGAAATAAACACCGCAACATACTCCACGAGACGTGCAACTGCCTGCACAATGATCCGTTATCACCGTCGGACCCTTGCTCCGCACGCGTTCGACGGAAACTGGCGGCAATCAAACTGGCCCAATCTGCCAGGGCATCGCTCGTGGGGGGGGGCCGCCTCGCCTCGGGCTGCTCTCCCGCAGCCGCGCCCCGCCCTCGACGGCGAGCGCGCGCCTTGTGGGTGCCCTGACCGTCCCGGGCGGCCGCCGCAGGCCCGAACGTGCGTTTGATTCACCCATGTCGTCCAGCCCGCCCATCTGAACCAAGAAAGCCGGTTTCTGCTGAGACATCCTCACGAGTCGCTCTTAAACTTACACTGGCCACGGCGTGCAGGTGACGCTGGCGGTGAGCTGCCCGCGCCAAGGCGAGAGCGCCGTTTGGACGGACTTTCGACCATTGTACGGTTCGGCCCGCATAGTACGCTAGGTTATCAATGCGAGGCTAAGCTATGCGGTGTGATGCGATGCGACACTATGCTGTGCGATGCGATGCTATGCTATGCTATGCTACGCCATACTGTACCACGCGATGATATGCTATGATATGCGATGCGATGCGATGCGATGCTATGCCATGCTATGCGATGCTATGCTATGCGATGCTATGCTATGCTACGCGATGCTCGTGTATGATGTGTTGTGCGATGCTATGCGATGCTATGCTATGCTCTGCTGTGCGATGCAATGCTATGTTGTAGCTCCAGTTGGTTCCCCTTCCTCCCCCCCCCACCACCACCACCACACGCACAAATTCCTTATCACCCGAAGGGTGGTCGTACATGTAGGCATGCACTGGCAGGATCTCGCGGCCAGAGACACAACCGCCTCGCGCACACTTGCCTGGAGCGGGGAGGGATGGGGAGGAATGGGAACGATCTGGGAGGAGCGGGGAGGGGTGCAGAGTGAGGTGTATTGTGGGCCTCTTGGACTGTCTCAGAGCGCTCTGGGATCCACAGGCGCCTACGGAAGTTGTCTTGAAGGGCTCTGTGGGACGTTGTGGGGCGATCCTGGGAGCTTCTTGGGCCGTCTTGGAGGCCGTGTTGGGATGTCTTGCGGCGCTTTTGGGGTTCTCTGAGGCCGTCGTGGACGCTATTAATACAAGCGCATATGCCAAAAATAGACGCTTCCCAAAGAAATTAGGGCGATGTGTGTTCCTTGCGGCCCTCATAAGTGTCCTCTTGAAGCCCTCTTCAAGCGCTTGGGGGGGCCCTCGGGCCGTCGTGAAGCCATCATGGGCGTCTTGACGCACTCTTGGACCGTCTCGGAAGCCTCCTGGACCGTCTGGGGAGCGCCTTCGGCCCTCCGAAAGCCCCCCGAAGGACCCCGAGGGACGCAGTGGGCACCGCGGGGGGAGGGGGGGGTTGGGAAAAGTGGACAGCCTCGGGCCCCAGGGGTCTGGTCGCGGGGTCCGCATGGTGATGGGCAACTATGATAAGCGCTTGCGCGCTGCAGTCAGAGCCACCTTGAGCCAAAATGGCAACGGATGCTCGTGGGGCGTCTTTTGGGGCTCCTGTGGGGCCTCGTGGAGCCTCTAGGAAGCCTCTAGGAGGCCTCTTGGGCTCTCTTGGGGGCCTCTTGGGGCCTCCTGGAGGCCTACTGGGGCGGAAGGCTCGAATTGTCGGTTCGTGTTCCCCCTCTTGAGCCCCTCTTGGGGCCCTCTTGAGGCGATCTTGGGCGCCTCTAGGGTCGCCTTGGGGCACTCTTTGGGCCGTCTTGGGGGCTCTCTCTATTGCGCCGTCGTGGCGCCCTCTTTGGGTGCCTCTTGGGCCGTCTTGAGCTGGTTTCTGGGGCCTCATGGGCTGTCTTGAACCGTTGGAAGCACGGAACAGCGAGAACACGAACAACCTTCAAAAACCATTGAGGAAACCTACTTGCTTCGCCTCCTGAGTGCCTCGTGGGAGCTCTTTTGAGGGCATCTTGGCCATCTTGAAGCCCTCTTGGGCTGTCTTCAAAGCCATGTTGGACAAATGTTGGAACGCTCTTGTGCGGTCTTGGGCTCTCTCGGACCGGTCTTGGGCCATCAAGGCGCCCTCCTGGACGTCTCTCGGCCCCTTTTGACGTTGTTTGGCGCCCCCCGCCGGGCCCGAAACGGTCAGAAGAAAAAGTCAGTGCACTTCGGAGGGCCCGGGACCCCCTACCAATTATATATATATATATAGAGAGAGAGAGAGATGTATATATATATATATATATATATGTATGTGAATACATAAACCTACACTATATATATATACACACATACATGCACACACATATACATACATACAGTTTGGAGGGCTCTTGGGCTGTGTATTGGCCATGTTGGGCCCATCTGGGGCCACGTTCGGGCCATCACGGCCGCCTTGGGGCCTCCCGCTCCCGCTGTGGGGCCTAGCATGGGACTGTCCTGGGGCTCTCTTGGGCCGTCTGAGACTCGTCCCAGGCAATTTTCGGGCTCCCTTCGGCAGTCTTGGGGCTCTGTTGGAGGTCTTTTGGGCGGTATGGGGGCGGTCTTGGGGGCGTCGTCGGCTGTCGTGGAGCGCCGGGAGGTCGAAAACGCGAGACACCGAAAAACAGTTCAAAAACCAATGGAAATCAGGGATTTGACCCTCTTCGGGCTCTCTCGGGATGCTTCTCGGAGCTCTCTTGAGGCCTCTGGGAGGCCTCTTGGGCTGTGTATTTGCGGTCTCGAACCCATCCTGGACCACGTTAAGGCTATGTGGGCTGTCTTGCAAGGATTTGTCGAAGTCCCCGAGGGCTTCTGGGAGCTCTCTGGGGCAGTCTGGGAGCTCCAGGGCCGCTCCAGGGTGCTCTGGGAGCTGTCTGGGAAACCCTGGTCCTCCCATGCCCTGTCGTGGTCGCGGCCCCGGGCGCCCGGGCCTCGTGCACGGGGATATCTATATGTGTATATATATATACATACATACATACATAAAGATATGTATATATATATATATATATATATATATATATATACCAGCCCAGGGGGCGCGCTTCGCGCGCGCTCAGGTTCTAGCCCAGGGGGCACGCTTGAAGATCTTGGACAGCGCTATCAAGTACAGGCGCGTGACATAGTCGCGCCTCCTGAGGGCCTCTTGGAAACCTCTTGGGTCTTCGTGGGGGCATCTGAAGGGCTTCTGGTGGGCTCTCCATGCTTCCTCAATTGGCTGTTGCAGGCACATCTTGGGTGCTTCTCGGGGGGCATCTTGGGGCTTCTTGGGGTCCCTTGGGGGGCATCGTCAGGGTTCTCCGGGCAGTCGGAAAGTGATGTTCTGCAGTCTGAAGCAGTCAATTGGCCGTCTTGGCTGCGTGGAAGCCCGGCTTGAGGCCACATTGGGGCAATCCGGAAGCCTCCCAGGGCCTCCTGGAAGCAATTTTCATGCATCGAGAGCACTGTTCGGCTATCTTGGGGCCCCGTGTACGTCTCCTGCGAGCCTTTTGGTGCCTGGTGGGGGGCTTTGGGGGGCCTCGTCGAACCACTTGGGGACTCTTGGGGCCTCCTGTGGGCCTCTTAGGGCGAAAGGCTGTGCTGTTGGGCTCGCGCTTTCCTTCTTGGGGCTCTCTTGGGGCCCTCTTGGGGCCCTCTCGGGCCGTCTTGGGCGCCTCGGGCACCGTCTTGGGGCCCTCGTGGGCCGTCTTGGGGCCCTCTTGGAGACCTCTGCGGTCTTGGGGGCTTCTAGGGCCGTCTTGGAGCGTCGGGATGCCAAAAAGGCTGGGAACTGTAAAATCCATCAAAAGCCGATGGGAAAACATTGCTTCTTAGAACCTCTTCGGCCTTCCGGGGAGCTTCTTGAGGGCCTCTTGGGTCCCATTTGGGGGCCTCTGGGGCATCCTGAGAGCCTCTCGGGGTGGAAGGCTCGGATTTTCGGTTCGTCTTACCCATCTTGGGCCCCCCTTGGGGCCGTATTGGTGCCCTCTCGGGCCCCTCACACGTTTTGTGGCCCCATAGGGAGCTCACCCGAAGGCCCCAGTGCCACCGACCGCATGCTTCCCGAAAGCGAAATTTGACACACCCCTCACACGTTTCGTGGCCCCATAGGGAGCTCCACCGATGGCCCCAGTGCCACCGCACGCATGTGTCCCCCACACCCATTTCGGCACACCACTCTCACGCTTCGTGGCCCCATGGGGAGCTCCACCGAAGGTCCCAGTGCTACGCCCGCATGCGTCCCCCCCACCCAGTACAGCGTCTCGTGGCCCCATAAGGAGCTCCACCGAAGCCCCCAGTGGGACCGCCCGCATGCGTTCCCCCCCACCTAGTACAGCGCTTCGTGGCCCCATAGGGAGCTCCACCGAAGCCCCCAGTGGGACCGCCCGCATGCGTCCCCCGTGGTGGTGGTGGTGGTGGTGGTGGTGGTGGTGGTGGTGGTGGTGGTGGTGGTGGTGGTGGTGGTGGTGGTGGTGGTGGTGGTGGTGGTGGTGGTGGTGATGGTGGTGGTGGTGGTGGTGGTGGTGGTGGTGGTGGTGGGGGGGGGGGGGGGGGCGGTGCCGTGCCGAGATAAGGTCGGGGCGGAGAGGGCGCGCTGGCTGGTGGGCGGCGTGGGCGCAGAGATGCGGAGGTGGCGCGCGGGATGGGAGGGGGCGGTGCCGTGCCGAAATAAAGTAGTCGGGACTCTAGACACCCTGTGCAAGAGAATAAAAAACGATCACCTGGAGGCCCCAGACCCCCACTCGCATTCAAGACTGCTTCAAGACGACTGCAACACGGCCACAGATGGCCACAAGCAAGACTCCACAGGGGACGCCAAGAGGCCCCCAGGAGGCCCCAAGAGAGCCCAAGACGGCTCCGATGAGGCCCCAATACAGTATATGGCGGCGAACGAGGGGGGAAGCGAGAAAGAGAAGGTCTTCTCAGAAGGCTCGGAAGTCCCCTGGCCTTCTGAGAAGGTCTCTAAGCCTTCCCCGAAGACACCGAAGTCTTTTCAAAGAAGCGAAGGCTTCTGAGAAGTTTCGCCGCCTTCAAAAAGGCCTTCTCCTTCTCACTCCCCCACCCTCGCTCGCCGCCGAATTACGGCCCAAGACGGGCCCATGCGTCGGCCATACCCGTCGAAATGCGACACTCCCGAGCACTCGTTCATCACCAAATGTGCGTGCTAGATCTCCCATTGGGAGCCGCCGTGACTCCCGCTATGCGGGCTCAGCACGGCGGGACCCATGTGCGGTCCTCGGTCATACTGGACAGGCGCGGGCTCAGGCGAGGAAGATAGCTCTGCTGACGAATTGATACTGGTGGGCCGCGCGAATTCCGCCGTGCATGCGCTTGGCTTCGCATGTCTCATCTTCTGGAGGCATCCTGGGGGCTTCAAGATTTTCGAAGATGGCTCAAGATGGCTTGAAGATGTCCCCGAGTGGCTCAAGAATTGCTCCAAGACGGATCAAGCTGCTTGAAGTGGCCAAAGTTGGCTCTGAGATTGGCCCCAGGCAGCTCCAAGAAGGCCCAAAAGTGGCCTCAAGCGACCACAAGAGGCTTCAAAACGAAGAGCCAGAATTGCCAAACTCCACATGGCCTCGAATGGTTCATTCTGGCGTGTCTGACCGGCTCGCTCCAGATGGCTCTCCAATGTGCTCCAGATGCCTCCGAGAGGGGCCAGGAGGCCGAGAAGCCCCTGGGCTGCCCTTCGGGCCCCTAAGAGGGCCCCAGCACGGCCGCAGAAGCCCAAGCCTGGCCTCCACAAGCGGCCCCAGGACGGCCCCGAGATGGCCCCAGGAAGGCCCCGACGGTCTCCACACGTGCTGGGCTCCGGTGGCCCCCCTGGAGCACCAGAACGCGGACATCTCGTTCCATCGTATCGCCGTGGTCATCCACGTCACGTTGTCGTAGGCGGCGTCCAGCCTCGAGAAGTACACCTGGGCGTCCTCGGCTGTCTGCCCGCTGTCCGTGTTCAGGAGGCTCGTCAGCTCGTTCCCCACTTCGCCGATCTGCACAAACATCCACATGAAGAACGGGATCAGCACACCGCCTCCGAATATCAGGGCCAGGTTGACTACGCGGTAGAACTGCATCACGTGTTCTTGCACTTTGTTGCGTCTGATCGCCCCAATGAGCCCGAAAATCTCGCCCCCGACAAGCCACGAAATGTTCAGGACGAACCACAGGTCGCACAAGACGGTCGTGATGGAGCCCCACACCTGCTTGTTTACCCCAACGAACATTCTATTGCGCCCACGGACGGGTGGGGGTCTATGGATACACCAACAAAGTTACACGGTCAATGCCGGTTTCCCATCGCCTCTGTCTGCAGAGTATTCGCCTTGACGGTCGCAGTGAACGCGCCCACCTGGAGGAGGAGGAGGAGAGGGAGAAGGAGGAGGAGGAGGAGGAGCAGGAGGAGAAGGAGAAGGAGGAGGAAGAAGAGGAAGAGGAAGAAGAGGAGGAGGAGGAGGACAAAGGAGGAGAAGGAAGAGTACAAGGGGAAGTATCGCGATGAACCCGCCCACCCGGTCCATCACGAACTCCAGGCGGACCAGCGCGAAGTAGCCGATCTGCCCGTGAGGGGGGGGGGGGGATGGGCGGGAGGCATAAAGGATGGGGCCCTGCATCCTGGAAGTCCTACGATTCGTCCTCTCTGCCCTCTTCTCCCTTCACGTTCTCTGTCCTCCTCATCAGCTTCATGCCCTTCCTCTTCCACTTCCTCCTTCTCTCTTTGCTGATACCCCTGTACTTCCTCGACCTCATGCCGCATCACTCTGTTCGCGCCACCAGATCCGATGTGCCCTGGTCGACGCTGGGCAACTCTGATCTACTAGAGCCAGGCTTTTCACCAGGGGTGCGGCCCCGCTGCCAGTCAGCCCAGGGGCCGCCCAAGGCGCGGGAGCGAAAGCAGCCAGAAGGCGAGGCAGCCGACAGGAAAACCCCGCATGCACCCCCCACGAACGCATGCTTCTGTTGCTGTTACTCCTGCTCAACCTCGTCTTCACGCCTCTCGTCACCATCCTCCTCTAGTTCATCCTCTCATCATCGTCAGCCTCCTCTTCTTCTTCGTTTCCTGATTTATTTTCGTAGTACTGTTAGTATGTTCTTGTTTCGTATGGCCTTCGTATAAGCACGGTCAGCTACAACAGTACTACTATTCGTATGGCTAATACTAATAAGATTACTAGTATTCTTAGTAGTCGTTTCAGGCTTACTATTATTACTGTGATAAGTAAAGTGAGTATGAACCGTATGCGTCGTCTGATTCGTAGTACTCTTCTCATCCGTAGTAGTATGCTTCGTCGTAGTACTTGTCTGAGTAATATTACCAATAAAATGGTTGCGTGTAGTATTATTAGTCGCCTGGGCCGTATGATTATGAAGATGCGTAACAGCATTATTATAAATAGGCTTAGAGTTAGTACTACCGCTGCTTGCTTGTATTTAGTTGTCGGCCTGTTCGCCGTGTTAGTTGTCCTGTTCTTGTTCATGTGCTTCTCTCCCCTCATCCTCATCATCCTCATCCTTCGCCTCCTTCTCCTCTTACACCTCCACTGATCCCTCCCAAGTGCGCCTCTGGAGCGACAACATGGCAAAGGGGGGATAGGGGGGGCGAGGGAGAGAGAGGGGCGCACGACGAGCACAGGGGAGGATGAAGAGGGGGAGGGGGAGGGGGAGGGGGAGGGGGAGGAGGAGGAGGAGGAGGAGGAGGAGGAGAGGAAGGAGGAGGAGGAGGGAGGAGGAGGAGTAGGAGAGAAGGAGGAGGAGGAGTGAGGAGGGGGAGGAGGCGGGAGGAGGAGTAGGAGGACGCGAGACCGGAGGAGGACGGGGGAGGAGGAGGATGGGACGAGGAGGAGGAGGAGGAGGAGGAGGAAGAGGAGGAGGGGGAGTAGGAGGACGAGGCCACCCGACCCCGCGCATCCGCGGGGGGCGCCGCGCGATCGCCTCCGCAACCCTCCGCGCCGCCCCCAGCCCTCTCGGAGAAGGGGCCGCCGCTCTGGCACGGCCCAGGGACGCGCGAGGCGCGATTCTCGCGGCGCCCCCCCCCCTCCG